ATTTTACCTCTAGTCTTTTTCGTTTTTTCAAACATTCAAACGGAAAGTTTTGGTGGAAAAGAGTAGGATTGAATTTTTCGGTTAATAATGCAAAACACGTCCATGAATAAACGAGTCACGAAGGCAACAGAGGAGCTGAACCATTTTTGAGTTAGCATATGACAGATAATAGGTGCAATATACATTTCGAGAAAGCCCTTATTCACAAGTCTCCAAAATTTTATGATTTTCATAATTTTGAAAACGGACGAATTCCGTGAAGAAATGCATATACTTAAGTAATCTGTATCTTGATATGTGAGACTGCACACTATGTGCGGCAATCGACGACACCATTACTAATAACATCTTAGGGAAACCTCTTCTAGCGTAACAAACTGTAGAAATGTATACGACTAGATAATTCACATTTAAAATTAAAAAAGACAAGAAAACAAGAAGAATCCACTGGAATGAGCAGGTTTTTATACTTGCAAGTCGTCAAGTAGCGCACATTGTGTGCAGTATGTGTATTTTGTTGCAAGTGACTCAACAATATGTAGGAGGATCACACATGATGACGATTAGAAAATAGATATTCTTCTTTCAGGACTCAAAATTTCAATAAAGTTTGCATCCTGTTGATATTTTTATGGCAGTCTCTGAAACTCTTAACAAGAAGCATTCGGTATGAGTTAAGGCAGATTCAAGGAATATACGGAAATTACTCACCTCGCGTTACTCATCGTTTCGAAAAACTCTACTGAAATCGAGTACCCCTTTTTTCGTTCAAACCTTTTGAGTTCGCAAGTAGTTCCAAACAACTCGTCCGCACAGTCACCTTGTGCAGGGACCTGTTTCCGATAATCCGCTTACAATGCTGCATCTACAAATCGTTTTCAGTGCTAATAATATGACTCTACAAAATTCTGTCTGTACTTCACATATGTAGATGATATCTCACTACTGTCTTAGGACTTCTTCTATAAGCATGACGCGGAAATTGTCTTATGTGGTAATAAAGTCGTTTTTTCTCGAAATTATCAATCCAAGAGCAGCTAAAGATAATTTCTGATTATTTTAGTCGGCTGTGGATGTAAATCGCTTCTTCGATTACAATAGTATGGACGAGAGAGAGCGATTGTCTTGTGATGATGCTAAAAAAGAGCTTAGTAAGTTTTACTTTTTACCTTGACTAGGTTTGCAGGTACAAAGAGAAATGAGAAAGACATGTTTCATTATCATGGCCACAAATTGTTTAAAATACTTTTTCTTACCACAAATTGATATCTTCGCAGCAACAAATTGTAGCCAAATCCAATCAAACCCAGCTTTTATAGCAATGACGTGATAACTTTGATGCTAGAATATCAAGAAAAATTAAAGGCCAAATGCTTCCCTCAGAAAAAAGTTTTCGCTTTCTTTGCTGAATCTTAGTTTGGATTTGAGTCTATCCACTCAAATGAATGGAAAAAAAGAAAAGATGCAAAAATGTGGATCTATGAAAGCTATCAGTTTTACCTTGGAAAATGATTTAAAATTCTGTTTCGCTCTTTTCCGATGTAAATAAAAAATTTGAGAATTTTCTATTTTTTCGTTGATTCAGCATTATAGTTCCACAGAGCGCATGAATGTAACCTTGTTTTCAAATTAAATTTTCCTTTGAACAAGAAAAAATAGTCCCCGTCACGTGTAAGGGAAAATTATGGCGTTTTGATCAAATTCAATGTTTTCTGAAGAAAAAATTTTTGTCTAACATGTGACATAATTCGATTTTCTTCACATGCTAAGTGAAGGGCAAAAGATTTTGCTGGAAGCAAGAAAAGATCACAGATTTACAAGCTTTTAATGGAAACAACTCTGTAATTGTGAAAATAAGCGGCGATTATGCCGATGATGTTCAAATGTTGCCACGATGAAATTTTTGAGATGCATTATTTAGTGCAAATTCGCACCCGACAATGTGCGATTACACACACCGCGCGCACTGCACGCCTAAGCCTGTAGTTCATTGACCCATTTCAATGGATGCTCTCATGCTTGATAATTTCAAATGGGAAAATGTACCAAGAAAAAGTAAATTCAGATATGTGGTCTCCGCGTACAAAGAAATCCCGTAATCCATGAGCTGTTCGTATGTTGTGTGCAGTCGCATACACTCGTACCTAATCGACTTCAATTTAATCTGAGTTGTTTCAAAAGCTGATGTGGTGTACTTGCGCTGACAATAACATCTGAGCATGAACAAATTATTATGCCTTCGATGGCGGGTTTTTGCGATCATACAAGGGCCACAGAGCGCAAATGTCTAAGCTTCGCGCCTCGTGTCCATTTCCTGACGAGCAAGTGTTGTCGGCACCGCATAGGCTCCCTAGCTGGCCCACTAGATCACGGTGTCAGCATTTTTTATAAGAACATATTTTTAAATGTAAAAATCAACTGGCTACTCTTTCAAATGACTCAAATTCCCATGACGGGCGGGACTCGCATTAGAAAATGTATATAATTAGAATCTTTTTCTGATCAGATAAATTTTTTTAAATCGTACCCACAGTTCTTGTGCTAGTAAATCGACTATAGAAAAATTTTGAAAACATATTAAACTATATCATTGGACTATTTTGAAACAAAACTGTAGGATCAAATAATTATCGTATGAAAAGATCTATTCTCACACAGATGGCTGGGCACCGACCACTCGTCGCGCTCGTCTCGTCTCGAAAACAGGAAAAACTCTGCTCACTGCTGTCGAATTGCCAGAACGATTTCGAGCAGCTTATAAGTGAGTTTTATACCATTCTTCAATGATAGTTTTGCACTAGTAGTGAAGCACAGTAGAAATAATTGTACTCCCATAATATACACTTGACTGAAAAATTGAACGTGTGGAATAAAACCAGTTAATTTTAAATTTTTCTGGGGCTTAATCTTTCACAAAAATGAATAATATGCTAATTTCTAAAAATGCAAATAAAAATTGTTTATCACTAAACAGTACAACAGACTACCAATTTGTGGTGACATATCTCTATTGTATGCTAGAACTATCCTTTGTTACGCCTGTCTAGACTACTTACCTTCTTTGACACCACTAATGTGTTCAATCATTCAAGCTCGACATATTTTGCATTCAATACAAATCCTCCTAAATGTCATCAAGTCAAAGAACAGCGAATCTTTTTCGTAAACATCAGTCAGTGCAATTGTAGTAGGGCGCAGCGGCACTCATTAAATTAATCTGGTGAATGCGTATAGATCCCTATTTTGTAACTTGCAATACATGAGATTCACGCACACTTATTAGAAGTGTGAATAAGTTGGGGATGGTACATTAGTTTTTTCAATATCAAAGTTTTTGAAACTATGCAAGAATAGGGTACACTTTGACTTGACTGGGCTGGCGGCTGGAAGGCGGGGTTTCGTGACCTAATCAAGGTTAGAAAATGATCAAAGAACACTTTCTCGAGAGAGACGCAAACTGCGTCGCGAACGCGAGCGGTCATCTTCCAGCCGCCAAATTCATTGAATCAAAGGGTAAAGCAAATACGGCTGGTTTGGGGTTGTTGCAGGCCTGTCGCAAGAAACTTTTGACTAATGTGAGCCCCGAATACCCTTGTCACATTTTTCTTGGGTATTTTTCGCAGGTTTATGTGTTGAAATCCAAGCAGTGCAGTAATAGCCGTCATTTTCATGACCAAATGTCTATATTACACAAAATTCTCTACACTACCTTATGCAGTGTCTAGGGTTGCCTGTAATAGACTGTGTCAGCGTCGTGCCTGCCCCGTGCAGGCGCCGAGCAAGCTTAAGCGCGCGCACACAGCACTGATCGGACAAGTCCCAATCTTCTTGCACAGAAGAGTAAAGTTTCGATACTTAGGATGTTGTTGATGTGATACCGATGTTGAGAATTGTGCATGAAAGACATCACGGAAGTACCTGTGATTTAGCGCGCTTGCGTGCGCGCAGTTCAGCTTTGGATCAGACCCGATTCAAGGTATGAGCGCGTGTAGGCTGCTAAAGCAATTTTGGCGTCCGTGGTTAAAATGCATACTGTTCTCAGGCTGCATGCAGAGTTGCCCGTACCAGCGCCGTGCTAGCGCCGTGTCGGAACTCCACGATACGGGTGCGTCCAAGTGACGCTTACACATGGGCAACTCTAGACGTAGACTCAGAGAACGTCCTCATATGAATCAAAAGTCTTGGAGCGATTATAACAGTAAAAATCTTGCAAACCACTTTTTGAAAAAAAAAACACTCGCTTACCTAACCTGTACCAACAATAGTTGCTCCAATCGTGCGTAGGTCTTTCATGAGAGTGCACCTCTTGTTTAAAGGTGGCATGTCGCGAGCTGCTTAGTTAGGCTTAGAGAAAATTAATTGCCTATTCAGCACTAGACAGAAATTGTATCAAGCACATTATGCACCGCTATTTCAGACTTCGAACATATGACGTACGACGAGGGGCGATCAATTCTTGGGTTGTGACGTAAGTATGCGTTTGCTGGGGGTACAAGACAAAATCCAATGGATAGTTTTGGTGTCTAGCTCGCGTCTTTTGAGCTTATGCCTCATTAGCTTCAATCATCTCCAAGTAGAGGGTACTAGTTAAATTCTGCCCCGCTTACAGACTCAGACCGTAATTTTGATAACAAATCATTTCATTATGAAATCTAATCAGTGTGACTTTTGTAAGAAGAGCAATTACTATTTGCAAAGCTTGGAGCAAGCAAAGGGCAGTTTGCAGGCGCTTTGAATAAAATTCTGATTTTTTGAAGATTTGGCAAAGCTCTCGAACTTCATAAAAATGATCATTAGTGTCTTGATTTGATATTTGATAAATTTAAACTTGTCATTTCACTTTTCTTGGCTGAAAATTGTACCTCCAAGACAGCATAATTGCCGCGGTATAAGTGATAAATAGAGTTAACATCCGCTTAGTAATATTGCTAATATTATCCAGCTAACATCATTTCAGAAATTGGTTCCACTTAATAATCGAGTGCAATTGGCGATTTATTATGATAATATTTGCCGCCGGCTTTTTTGGTTCGTGGACGTTCTTTGGCACCCTCTACTACCTCTTCACAGTTGTCGGCTATCAAACTGTAAGTTATCGTTTTATTCTGATTTTTAAAAGACTAATAGAAACAAAAGTAGATCGACGAGATGTAATGATTTTTTACAGAGTGATCGCCGTTGTATAGAAAACGTCAACAGTTTTGTTACTGCCTTTTTGTTTAGGTAAGTAAGCCTGTTATACGTAATTTGACTCTTAGCCGGTTTAATGAGTTTTTTCTTTCAGCATGGAATCTCAGCACACTATCGGATACGGCTTCCGGTGAGAATCACTTTATGTCTTGGAAAACATTCTATCAGACTCTAGAAAAAGCACTCATAAAAACTCGCAAGGTTTTCTTCGCATTCGAGATTTTTCCGTTTTTGTCCACTTTCCCTAATCACCTATTTTGATTTGAAACATTCGAAATAGCAGCAGAATAGAATTGCCAAGAGCCTTATTTACTACTGTATATTACTCTTGAAGTTCAGATACATGACGGATAATTGTGCCCCAGCTTATGTGATTCTTTCCATACAATTGGTTGTTGGAATTTTTCTCCAAACAATGCTGACAGGCCTTGTTTTGGCCAAAGTGCTCCGGCCAAAGAAAAGGAAACAGGTACGGTCACACATTTTTCAACCTTATAACCTTATTGTACGGTACCGTATTCAAGGAGATGCGTTTCTCACGGATCGCTGTGATTGGACCGTTAGACGAGCACGATCGAAGACCAGCGCTCATGATTCGTTTGGCCGATATCCAGGAAAAATTATTTCTGGCAGAGTCGCATGTACGATTGTACATGGCAAGCAGTAGAATAAATAATGTAGGTTGTAAAAAGAAATTTAGCCTTCTTTTCTGTAAATCATTTATTGCAGCGAGGTGATAGGGAATTAATCGGAGTGAAAGATATGAATGTCGGATACGACAGTGGTTGGGATCGCGTGCTACTGTTATGGTAAGTTCTGCAACATTTCCCAAGAATTAAAAGGAATTAAATTGTGCTTAATCAGGCCAATCATCGTGCGGCATGTTATCGACGAGGATAGCCCGCTATACGGAATTACTCGAGAATCTCTACTTGTAAGTATTTCTGGAGGTCTCATCTTTTTGCATTTCATAATATGTAGAAGTGCATTTCCAATCCTATTTTATTGTCTTATTCTAGTAGTGGCATTCTCGTAGCGTTCTAAGTATTACTTTAATTGCAGACTGCAGATTTCGAGTTGATCATGACTGTCGAAGGAATCGTCGAAGCGACAGGAATGACATTCCAAGCTAGAACATCCTTTCTACCCGATGAAATACTTTGGGGTCATAAGTACGTCTGATTTTGTTTACAACTATGTTCGTAGAATGCACATCGCCAGCCAAAGGTACTCCTAGAAGCTTTCTGATAGCCTCCAAAAAATGTTTGTCTTCAAAAAAAAGGAAAATAATATATCAGAGCTATTGCGACTCGGTGGGCTCAGCACTCCTACTCAGACAATCAAATGCTCTCAGCCGGCAGCCACAAAGCCACCGCCTAGACCCACCAAAAGCGCGGTGGCCTCATCGCCTCACTGTTGCTTCCCGCTGAGAGCTTTGTCGCAGCTTTGTCGGAGCTTGTCGGAGCGAGCTCAGCGGGCAGCGAGTCCGCTCCGACAAGCTCCGACAAAGCTCCGACAAAGCTCTCAGCGGGAAGCGACAGTGGCTGCGATAAGGCAACGACGCTTTTGGTGGGGCCCGCTGAGAGCCTGTGATTGTCTGAGTAGCCGAGTGCTCAATTACCTCACACAAATCTACAACCTCCTCGTCCCAGTTTCTTGCCCATAAGAACAGCCTACACTTTCTGGTGCGCCTACTTGACTCGTCAGTGAACTGGATCAACTGACACTGCCAAGCAAACAGACTAATTGAGTTTGTTATAATACACATAACTGATAAGGATAGGAAGTGCTACCACTTAGGAATGGAATGGAAGTCACGAAATGAGGGGGGCCCGCTCATTCTCCGTGCTACCAATGTTTACCAAGGCTTAGCCTTCATATTCAAGTATTCCGGATTGAGGTCAAGCATAGCCGTCAAGTCCTTGCGGGGGTGCGACCCCTAATAATGATGTTGTTTCCCGTCTATTATCAACAAACAACCCTGCATTTATCGCGCGTCCTACCATACCAGAAAATTCAGTGCTGGACTGTTAATGCCAAAAAATTCATCTGCGGAAGCTTACTAGAAAAGTCACCAAACACGTTGATAACGAGTTGATAATAACAGACTTCAGAAGAGGCGCGCAATGCATGCGCGGCTATATGCATCTTGGCATGACTTCAGATGTCATATCATCCTCTCTTATAATGAATACCATCTAAGCCAGTACGAGCCCCATGACCTGATAAAATCGTTTGCGGAAGTGTGTTCTAACGACAACAAATAAAGGGTTGGTAACCCATGTAATGACACGAAACATTACATGTACAAACCCTACATGGCGGCGCGTATCGAAAGAGAGGTGGCCGCGAACTTTGTGGCTGCTCGGTGGACCCGCAGCGCCTGAATGTTACCTGACAAACCCAGTGCGCTCGCCCGCTTATTATATACGACGCTACCTAGCCTACCTTAACATAGCTCGTAAGAAACAGAAATTAAATCACCAATAGTTTATCCTTATAACATAGAAGAAACAAACACTATGCTGGAATACTAAACTACAGTCAAAAGAAGAAATACCCCAGCACGGGACAGGGTGCCACGTTACCGTTTAAAGACCCCTGAAAACAATCCTTACAAGGCTTCACCTATACAGATCCGTCATGCGTCGCCGAAGATGGCAACCGCGACAACCTTGATATCCTAATTTCCAAAAGTTGCAAAAGTGGCTCGTCCGAAATTAGTCCCGTTCTCTTGAATTCCAATCCACTATGGACTCCGATATGCTTGACCGCTACTGCGAAAGTGACATCAAAGGCGGTAGCTAAACTGCCAAGCATGAGCATAATAGAAGACATGGAAAAAGATTATTGATCGAAAAGGAAAGCGAACAGACGCTGCAGTGAGGCGCCACCACTATATGTACCCTTTTGGCTGGCAACGCGCTAAGGCGAGGAGAGGTGCGGGGGCTATTGCGGCAGATGTGAGAAAGTACGTAATTGTCGCCGCATGTCGCGGCAGCAACCAGTGCTCCCGGCCTCCTACTAGGAGCGCTCGCATCGCGAAGCTGCGACAGATGCAGTAGGCGCGATCAGTTATCGCGGCATAATCTCAGGCTTTCTAAGAAGAGCTGCTCTCATCGTCGAGCCGTTCATTATCACTAAGATTGCTGGACAGAAAAATCCTGGTTGCATGCTCAGTCTGCTTGCCGTGTGACTTGCACATATCATATAGCAAAAGACTATTATATAACCAATACCGATCAACTGTTCACCGTAAGTCAAATCTTGATTTTTAAGGTTCAAACCAATGGTTCTAATGAATGAGAAGCTTTCCAAGTACGAAATACATTATGGGTTGTTTGACCACACGGAAAGGTGAGTTTAGGTTTGACGTTTTGTATTGTATCCACCGCAACCGCGCCTATTTAGAGTGCTCGATTTTGATGTAACACCAGTTGAAGCTGAAGAGCTTGAGGACGAGTTGGAGCATCATCATAACGCTTCTGGCTTTATGTGACGAATATCATAGTTTACCAAACAAAGTCGGTAGTCTTATAAACTTGAGAAATCAAGGAATTTTCCCAAATCACGTCCATAACTCTGGTTGTACATTCATTTTCCTCGCAAGGGTGAATTATGTTGACGAGATATGAAGCGGGTCAAAAGCTATAATGATGATTCTAACCGTAGCTTTATTGAAGAATTTTATCGTATGCATTTTTGGACTATGTGTATCCATCAAATCAATGATCTCTATGATTCGACTTGCAATTTGTCTCAGTCGGAATTGGTTGAACATTTCTCGGCATCTTGAATTTTTTTCTATGATTAACATAGGTTATGCTCGTTTGTGTTGATTTTTCAATTCACCTTTTCAAGCTCAATTCCAATGGCTTTATTAAAAGGATTATGAGTGATGCACAGCTGCAAAATCGCAAACTATTGTAGTTTAAAGTAATTTTGAGCTATTTTCGCCATGCCGAATTCTTTGTCATAAAAGCTATTTTCGGGACACTTCTAAAAATAGCTTTCCACAGAACTGCCGTAGATTGAAGGTGCTAATATCCTTAAGGAATACGTAGCGATGCTATGGAAAGAAGATAGCTCTAAACTGGTACATGCAGAGGTTCTTTTAAGCCTTCGCATCCTTAGTAACTTCACGGTTATAATCTTAACAAGAAACCAACCTATTCTGTGCAAAAATTCTATGAAAAAAGCTCTGTGGTTTTTTTAGAATTCTATTTATCTATGACGAACATTTTGTAGAAAATTTCAGAATTTCTATTCGCACGTATAACAGCACAATATTACTCTCAATACTTTCTTTGTGAATGTCATTGTTTGTCATTAGAGTTTCGATGTTTTTTGGTTTTTGTACTATTCCTGAGTTGTAAGTGCAAATATCAAGAAGTATCGTGTGTCGAGACACATTATAGCAGCAGCAGTGAAATCTCTGTGATTTAGTTTATAGGTGGATTATTATATCAAAGAATTGTCTACTGATTCGTTGTTGTCCAGTTTACTACGTTGATATGTTTATTGTTGAAAATGACTCTCCGCGAAGTGAGTTAGTTATCTTAGTTTACTCATTATAATGGTCGTAAAATGTTCCTACATACTTCGCATGCTCAAACATATCGATCTTCATTTTCCCGATGATGTATAGTACCTTGTTCTGATTATTCTGAAATAGAAGCAATAAATGTCGTTTTAGAAACAACTCATTGTGTTATAGAGGCAGACAAGTAAAAATTGTTTCAGACCAATCTAGGACTTACATGTGATAAGGGGAACATGTGTTCTAACACCCTTCCTTGGGCCAAAATACAGCTGACTTTCACCCACAGCCGATAAAATCAAAGAAAACTTTGAGCAAAATTATAAAAGTTATTGAACTGAAATTATCAACGAACAATGATCGTTGATATAATTATCAATTTTCAAAGAATTATTTGCGCACTTGGGGAGTAATTGAAAAGACTTTATTCACTTCTGGGAAACGACACTTGAAAAGAACTTTAACTTAAGAATCTGTGTATATATTTGTCATTTGAGTCGAGTATTTGCTGGAAGAATAGAGAAAAATGATTGGTGCAGATTACTTGTCTTCTTTTTTTGAAGCAAAAATTCTCGATACAGATGGCTGATTCACCAAAGATTCACTGACTAGATCCCATGAAAAGTAATTGTTTGAGTATCTGTTATAGTTCCTATGTTTTTTCTACTCTGTAGATAGTAACGTTTGACTACAAAAGCAGGTGACATTAAGAGACGTCAACACATTTATGAATTATGGTAATGCGTACACTGTTGTGATGCTCAAATGCTGGAGATCTCAAATGCTGGAGATACGAGTATTCCGGAGTTCTCAACAATTGTTTGTTTGACGAGAACGTGGAGGAGCTAGAAATTAGTGTTTTCCCACAATCAAGGACTACATAGGATGCGGAGGAAATGTAATGAATGATGCTTGAGTTGTCTGAAAAAATTTTTCAAAAAGAAGAGCGAGGAAGCAAAAATTTTAGAAGGTCAGTCATCATTTTAGTCTTCGAAAGATCAGCTTTGATAGATCCAGTAAGAGTGTGTGATGATTTTACCAAGATATCCAAAGAATTTTAGGATGTCCCCACTCGCTTGGAGAAAGAGAATAGCAAGAGCATTGGATTAAGCTCACTTTCTGCTCTGAAAATACATGAAGATTGAAAGGAGTAGCAATTAACTACAGCAGTGGAAAAATAAAAATGACATTGGCTTTTTCTGAACGACGACTATAACGTCATGAACCGACTTCCAACAATGTTCAAAAATAATTTCGAATAACCGACTTTGATATTATTCGAAAATTCACAAAGTCGTGAAGTCGTAGTGGCTGATCATTACAAATGCATATCATTACGAAGAGCATAAAGCGTTGACTTCAAATCTGCCTTCCTTATCTGTAGAACTCTTCTGGGTAAGGAAGTTATAGACTTCAATTTGCGGGAAGTCTACTAGGCTGAGGGTGACCAGAATTATCAACATCTAAGCATCTCGAATTCGAACCTACATGGAACAGCTCATCCTTGCTTGATGTGATGCTGAGCAACAACCAACTCTAACGATTTACGTTATTCATAGTCACTCGATACCATGCAAGTTTTGAGGGCAAAATGGCAATAATTTTTTCCCAAAAGCATTCAACAGATATGGAACACAGAAGCTTTTCGTAACGGTGTGCATTATGTGCTGATTGGCCACTTTGCGATAGCTCAGTTCTGTGAAATGCTGCCACACGGGACTTTTGGTGCTTCGCGAGTGGGCACAACAATACCCCAAACTTAAGTATTTAGGCTTTTATTATCAATATTATTACTAGTTGATATAGCGATTGCTTGGAGACAATATACTAACGTAAGCTACAAGACAGCAATATAATAGGCAACTTATGTGGATCTGATCCGTATTCCGAGAGGAAACTGTGGAAGCTCTGTGAAGGGAACTTTGTGGGAAGTAAGGAAGGCGGATATGATAGATAACGCAAAGTCTTAAGAGTAAATTAGAGCAAACTAGTTGACTTACCTGGCTCCGCCCGGCCCCGTCATTATTATATTCGTAATCAGCATGCTCGATTACCCCCCTGTGCCAACTCCCAGCCCCGTAGCTCAAATTTTGCAAAAAATCGATAAAATCGATATCGATCGATGACGAAAAGTAGCCTATGACACCCGCCGGGGTCCGAAGTGTATGCGTGCCAAGTTTGGTCCGAATCGGCTCAGAAATGGAATTTTCTATTCGGAACATACGTACACACATACAGACAGACATACAGACACAAGACATACAGACAAACAGACATTCAGCTTTATATATAAGAAGAAGAAAGACAAACAAGACGAGACAAAATATCATAGAAGAAAGCAAATATAAACAAAATACAAGCAAACACAAACAAATTATCAGTGAGCATGACAATTTCACAGATGAGCTAATAGCTAACAATACATTAAATATAAGCCTGTAAACAACTCGGTGCTTCAGTCGTTGTTAGTCGTGCAAAATACACAGAAAGTTCGTATATACGGGCCTCACCAAGCGAGTGAAGCGACACTATGTCTTAAGAAAGGATGCAGAGGCAGCTGCTAGTAACAGCAAAGTATGTTAGTAGCAAGGCAATCATTATCACGAATGTTGTAAGCGCTAAACGTTGCCTACCATGTTATGAATGTTGTGCCATATGAGGGAATTCGGTACGTTGATTTCCAAACTTTCTCCTTTGAGAATTCGTTTTGTGGCTCTACATTGCTATAGTGAAGGAGGGATGTTATTGACTTGGTCACTGTTCCACATTCAATGGTACAAGCGGTAGAGTAGTAGCCCTCTGTCGCTCCCTTTTTCTGTGCCTTTGACTGTGAACGCATCATCCTAGCACTGAATCTCCTTCCATGTCATGGGTGTCATCTGCATGTAGTTTGGGTTTTTCCCCCTTTGGACGTTTGCAGCAGCCGTTACAATGCACGTCTTCGCTTATTTATACGCTTGTGATCTCGCCGCTGTTGTATCAAACTCTTTTTTGATGCGTAGAATGACCTATGGGAAGCTGTACATTTTAGACACAACAGTTCCATTTATTGGGTGTAGCTCGAGATTCGGTCGCAGTACCGGCAGTATGTAGCGTGTCTCAAATGTAGCGGGAGATTCACTTGTTTGCAATTGCATGTCATTTTTACCTCAGCTGGGATGCATTCGCACTCAACTTTTACTTAACAATTGAGTTCGTTGCGTTTTTACATGAATTGCGTACTAGTGGAGGTGCGTGAAAGCTGAAGTGCTTTGTCCGTTTGACTGTAGATTCACCACCGGTTTCCGCCGATTGCATATGAAAAGTTCCTAAAACTTTTTATCGTTTGGAAGTGGATAACTTCTGTGAAATAAACATCCAAAACTAGGGTGAAGGCACTCACAACCTGGACCACTACAGGTATCCACACAATGTGCGATGCCTGAGAAGTCGCTCGCTCTGTGTACAGTCTTTTTCGACCCGGAGTAGGCGAAACATTCCAAGCGGAGCGGCGCATCCGCACCGCCACTGGCTCAGCGATATAGATTAGCATGAAGAGACGCAGACTGCATAACGGCGCGAATCGTTGAGAAGCGTACTCCCGCCAGTCCGATTTCCGCCTAAACTGAGTTGAAACTTACTATAATTCTGTTATCTTCGATGTTCGATTCACCTTTTTGTCTCATGTGATCCAGAATGTAGTCATCTTTTGCTATCTAAAAGTGCGTATCTGGTGCTCCTCATATATAGCAGTGTCTGCTTTTTGCAAATCAGTTAGGATTTCTCCACGACTTTACTTCCAAAACACTTGCCTCTTTCCTTCGTGAGCCTCTTATCGAATGCCCGCCTTCCAGTTGACAGAGTTGATTTTCAAAATTTCTATTGTTGCAGTACTCCTTGTGCGTCGTTTTACAACAACCTCAGTACCTGAACTACTATCTTACTTCCACTTCTACTGCGGGACCCCCTTATCAAATTTT